GAACAACATACTGTCAAAAGGCTCTGGGGTATATTGATTATAGTGCGTTCTTTCCTCTAGTGCAAAGAACTGATAAAGTTATAATGTGTATTAAATATATGTATCTGAGAGTGTGTTTGGTAGATGCTTCTGGCTGTTTTGTTAAAGTGCAAACTACCTGAGTACTGAATATGCAAATGTGAGAAATCTGTTCCAATGTTCCTTTTGCCATTACCTAAGAAATAAAGTGGAGCATTAATATGTCTATCTCAAACTAATTTTAAAACCGATTTTCACATAATTTGGTCTTATTTGTTAGAGAACACATCTTTCTGGCCCTACCTCAGAAAGCAACATTTATTTAATAAATTGCTAATCATTAAAGCAGATATTTATTTTGGAAACTAAAGTGTATTAATAATTAGATCAAAGAATAGTTGACAATTTTACAACAGGAGATTTTTATTTCAGAAGAAAGAATTAAAACCTTATATCATCTAACAATTAGAGGTTTTTATAGCTTCAACACAATCAGAGCTGAAAGGCTTATTTTATTTTTAAAGATTTGTTTGAGAGGTAGAATCACAGACAGGGAGAGAAGTCTTCCATCATTGGTTCTCTCCCCAAATGGCTGCAATGACTGGAGCTGTGCTGATCTGAAACCAGGAGCCAAGAGCTGCTTCTGGGTCTCCCATGTAGGTGCAGGACCCCAAGTACTTGGGCCATCTTCCACCGCTTTCCCAGGTCATTAACAAGGAGCTGGATCAGAAGTAGAGCAGTTGAGAACCAGGGCTCATATGGAATGCTGGTGCTACAGGCGGATACTTAACCCACAGCACCAGCCCCAGTTGAAATATTTTTTTATTTTAAAAACTCTACTTTGTAGAAACAGTAGATTGTAGCAGTGAGTCAGTTTATCTGACACGTTTATCAAAGCAAGTTTTTGGCTTTCTATAAATATTTCTTTTTGAAATAAAATTGCTCTTTGTAGTATATTAATACTTCAACCTACTCAGTGAATAACTCATTTAAAGACAAGCAAGCGTCTTTGATATGCTGGAGATCATGTTGTAATGTAATTCTAGAAAGTTGTTCATTGTACTGAAGTACTAGGTACCTAGGGTTTTTGAAGCCTTTTCAGAAAGGTGGTGCTAAACATTCAGGAACCAGATCAATGCACCTCCCAGTGAGGCACTACAGAATGTTCTAGCTGTATCAAATCCCACACTGCTTAGTGTGCTTTATGCGTTAGTTGGTTCTGTGTTGAAGATATGGGTGTCCTTTTAAACCCTTAGTTTCAGCTTCTATGTTGTTTTTGTCTTTGTATTCATATTACCTTCTATTCCCTACATTTATCTGAAATCACAATTGTTATAATTTAAGATAATATTTTCATTTGAACAAGTCTTTAATGTAGGGGGTTCTATAAATGATATATGAAACAAAAAGCATATTGAGGTAATTTAAATGAAATAGTTGTATTAATGTGCTCAAACTGTTATAATACAAAGCCATAGACTGTGTAACTTAATCAGAAGATATTCATTGTCTCTTAAGTCTGGTGCTAGGAACCCCAGGTCACCATCTTGTTTCTGGTGCAGGATAACTTCTGGTCTTGTAGAAAATGATCGTTCTGTTTGCTCGCATTACCTATGCTACGTGTTCATCTGAGGAGAGGCAGGGGCAGAATGCTCACAAGTACCCCTTTTTAAAGGGACACAAATCTTTTTTTTTTTTTTTTTGAGGACCCCCATCCTTATCAGGGGTTTTGCCTTTAATTACCTCTTTTTTTTTTTTTTTTTTTGACAGGCAGAGTGGACAGTGAGAGAGAGAGACAGAGAGAAAGGTCTTCCTTTGCCGTTGGTTCACCCTCCAATGGCTGCTGCGGCCGGCGCGCTGCGGCCGGCGCATCACGCTGATCCGATGGCAGGAGCCAGGTACTTCTCCTGGTCTCCCATGGGGTGCAGGGCCCAAGCACTTGGGCCATCCTCTACTGCACTCCCTGGCCACAGCAGAGAGCTGGCCTGGAAGAGGGGCAACCGGGACAGAAGCCGGCGCCCCAACGGGGACTAGAACCCAGTGTGCTGGCGCCGTAGGCGGAGGATTAGCCTAGTGAGCCGTGGCACCTGCTTGCCTTTAATTACCTCTTGAGACCCCTCTCCAAATATAATGACACTGAGGATATGTGACTACTTCATAGGATTTTGGTGCAGGGGTAGGAGGTAGACAAAATTTAGTCCATAGTAGTAGATATTGATCACTTTTTATTTATTTAAACTTCACTTATTTTTATTAATTTGAAAGGCAGTAAGAGAGAAATAGAGAATCTTTTATCAGTTCACTCTCAAGATGCCTACAACAGCCAGGCCAAAGCCAGAAACCTTCAACTCCGTCCTGATCTCCAATATGAATGACATAAACTCAAGTAATTGAGCCATCAGCTACTGCCTTCCAGGGTTCACACTAGCAGGAAGCTGGATCAGAAGCAGAGGCAGGACTTAGGTTTCTGCACTGTGATGAGGGATGAGGTATTCAAAGGGGTGGTTTACCTGCTGCGCCACAGTGATTGCCCCTTGCATGCCAATTACAGTCACAGTTTCCTTTGTTAATAAAATGTTATCTTATTTCTAATATTAAAATTTAAGGCCATTTTTAAATAAATGAAAGACTAAAACAAATGGAGAGGGAAAATAAGGTATTGAGCCAAAAGAAATTTCTTGGTCATTTTTAGTCTTTTTGGATTCTCACCTAGTGATAAACAAAAATGTAAGCCCAATGAAATCTTATAAAATGCTTGTTACAAATAGTTATTTTATTTATACCACTCAAAATTTAGGATGTCATTTTGTTTAGTCAGCATAGTGTTGTACAATAGCAGTTAACAAGAAAGATCGAAGTATATTTAACTGTTGGCTTTTAATTTAATTGCCAAAGATTTATTTTAGATGGATTTTTCAGGTGAAGTCTGATGATAAGCTGGGGGAACATTGTGGAATACCACTTCCTTCATGTACTCACAAGTTGTGAGAGTACATGAGACTTCGCCTTTCTTCCTTTTTATTGTATATTGGTGACAAATTATGATCAGTCCTCACATGTCTAGAAAACTGTTGACATTTCTTGTTAATATATCACCACTCATAGTAAGTCCTCTAGGGTTTTTTTTTTTTTCCTACTTAAAAATACAGATTTCACAGTTCAGTGCTTTGTAAGTAATATTTCTTCTGTGTGTGAGATGAAACCTCCACTACATATTTTGGAAACTGCATGCTCGCTTTTGCACCTGTATCCACTCTATGGATAGTGATGATACCCTAAAGAACAGATGCTAGTGACAGACTGAGACCCCAGGTAAAAGGAGTTCCTGAGTATTCATGGCAGTGATTTGGTGACAGCATACAAAGAAGAAAGCTGAGCAACATGCCGGGCTAGTAGTACAGTTTGGGGGACCACTTCCTAGGGCCTGTTAGGGACCTCTAGATGGCATTCCTCAGCAGGGTAGGTTCCTCTCCTTTCACAGGAATGAGGAGAGAGGTGACGTGTGTGGTCACCTTATCAGACAGAGAGGACAGATCAGGTCACTTCCTTTCTAACAGTATTGTGTTCTTCATCCAAAGCAGTGAACTTTTGAATTACAGCCACTCTTCTGAAATGGGTAGAGTCATGCATTTCCGTGATACTTTTCAAATGAGGATCTATGGGTATTCTTAGTACCACTTTATTACTGGGCCCATTCTATCTTGGGTGTAGCACAGAGGGGATTCCAGCTTTGTCTAGAAGCTGGAACTCCCTGAGAGGCAAACTTCCATACTACCCTCTCTGCCAGTGCATTTACTCTGACACTATGAGTATATCCTTTCTGCTGTTTTGGTGAATAATAACCACCTTCAGAGAATCCAAAGATGATTGAAAGTTAGCCAAAAGTTCTTGTTCATGCTTGTGTAGGGAATTGCTTTGCAGCCAGTAGGCCTGTTTGCTTGTATGTTGCCATGAGTGCATGCAGAATGAGGAATGCATATTTAAAGTCTATGTGAGTCAAGACTCTCTGGCCTTTCTTCAGTTTTTATTTTTTAAAGATTTATTTTTTATTTACATGAAAGGCAGAGTTACAGAGAGGGGAGGAGAGACTAAGAATCTTCCATCCACTAGTTCACACCCCAAATAGCCACAATGACTAGGGCTATGCCAGGCCAAAGCCAGGAGCCCACAGCTTCTTTGGGTCTCCCATGTGAGTGAGGGCCCCAGTGATTAAGATCTATAAAAGCTGAGCTATTTGGGGCCAGTGCTGTGGTGCAGTGGGTAAAGCCACTGCCTACAGTGCTGGCATCACATATGGGCGCCAGTTCGAATCCTGGCCGCTCCACTTCCAATCCAGCTCTCTGCTATGGCCTGGGAAAGCAATAGAAAATGGCCCAAGTCCTTGGGCCCCTGCACCCATGTGGAAGACCTGGAAGAAGCTCCTGGCTCCTGGCTCCTGGCTTTGGATTGGCACAGCTCCAGCTGTTGCAGCCAATTGGGGAGTGAACCAATGGATGGAAGATCTCTCTTTCTTTCTCTGCCTCTCCTCTCTCTGTGTAACTGACTTTCAAACAAATAAATCTTTAAAAAAATAGCTAAACTACTTTAACATGTAAAGGTATTTCAAAAATTTCATGAAAATATTAAAGATAGCTTTATTGTAGGGCAACAGAGTTTTGAAATCCATGTGTGGGTTTTCCAGAGTCAATTTTCATTGACCTTCTTGAAGACCTCTCATATACACAGACTTCAAAATTTTTTTGCACCAAATAAACTTCTCTTAATTCCATCATTCCACAAACTTTTTGAAGCCCCTCACACCTTCAAAAAAGTGCATTGATTTCAGCTTCTAGTGCAGTTCACCATTTTAAACTATTGGTTTGAATGAGTTACCTATGAATCATTTAAAGCGAAAGAAAGGGAAAACAAACAAAAAAAATTAGAAGTTTACTTGGTACCTAGGATCTGTGAACCACTGTGCTGTTTGTTTCTCCATCTCACAGGACCGTGCACAAAATCTGAACGAGCGGCGAACAACCACAACCACCCTCACCGTGGATGTCCTGGACGGCGATGACTTGGGTCCCATGTTCCTTCCCTGTGTCCTTGTGCCAAACACTCGGGATTGTCGTCCACTCACCTACCAGGCTGCCATTCCTGAGTTAAGAACTCCGGTAATTACGCTCTCATCTTCTTCCTTAGATATCCTCCCTAAGCTAAACTGTATCCCATTCAAATGTTTATGCAAACATGTGAATCAATAGTAACAAAATTTCCTACATAATCTTGAAAAATATGTGCAACGTATTTTCAAATACTAAAGGTGAGTTTTTGGTCACAATACGTAATTACATCCTATACAAAGTATGAATTGTGTCTTGAAGTGATAATCCCTTCGTTACTGACAAATTTTTTCACCACTAAATCACAGCAGGGATCAATGGTCAAAGTGTTCTGGGAACCTCTAGGAAATAGCTCCGGCATTTCCTTAAATACACCTGTAGTCTTAAATCACAAGACACATAAGTCAACAGGATACGTTTTTAGCCCCTTAGAGTTCCAAAATGTTATTGGAGAGTGTGCTTACTCCTGAATATAAATACCTATCCCTTAAAGATGTCTCTTACAGGAGCAGAAGAAAGGTGTTGAATGAATACATATTTCCACACTCTTTCTGTGTTTAAAAATGCTAATGGAGATAGAAATTCCCATTAGTTCATAATTCACAGCGTGGGCCTTCCTAGGTGGTAGATGTACATACAGAAGAATAAAAATTCATAGGGCAAACAAATATCCTGCCAGGGTAAACTATCAAAATTTCCTAAACATTAAAAAAGGGTGTATGTATGTACATACGTATATGTATGTGTGTATTTTTTTTTCCATTTTAGAGAAGTCAGATTCCTGTGAATTTTGTTGACTGTTTTTTTGTTGTCTCTCTGAATACCATTTAACCCTCTATGTTGCAAACATGCTTCAAAATAACAGATTTTGTTGAAAGACATTAGAAATTTTTTGCAAAAAAGGTTAAGTAGAGTTAGGGGAGTCCTCTGAATATTTGAAACATTGTCTAACCTTAAATGTAAACTACAGTGCAGTTTTATTCATTGATGAGTTCTTGTCCATTGTTATATCTGTGAGAGCTTTACTCATAATAGATTTCAAAAAGCTGAAAACTTCTGTGTCAACTATCATGAATGATCATTGGTCTCATGCCTTGAATTAAAAAAAAAACTGGAAAAAGAAATTGTTATGTGCATTAACTGAAGAAAACAATATATACTTTCAGTTAAATGAAGTTATTTTACAGACTAAAAAGCTAGTCAAACTTGTTGGGACCAATAGATATAAATCACCAAAATTCATAAATCATGATAGTATTTTGTAGAATCTCAGTAGGAAAATTAGTAGACGTGGTAACCACTAAAATCTTTTAAGAGCTTAGTGGAAATAATGAAAAAATAATATTTTAGCATTAATTTATGTTTATGAGTTAATTTATGTGACTAATGTAGCTCTGATATCACAAGAGAATTATTGAATCACAATAATTAAATTCAGTGAATCATTGTGATGACTGTTTAATAGTATTTTGTGTATCATGGGAAGTAAAAGGAGATGGAGGCTGCTTGTGGAGCAGGGAGAATGCACGGACTTACTATTATAAAGGATCAAGGGATGTCATTTTCTCTCTATCCCAACTATAGACTGAGCATCTTTCTATGTACCAGGCAGTTTAGTACTAGAGACCAGGTCAGGCTCCAGATTGGGAGTAATGATAGAAGTGAAATTAATGGCCAAAGGTTATAGAAAATTTCCAGTTTGTCACGACCTGCACTAAGCTTTTGCACTAGTCAGCTCTTTGTTACAGTAAAAGATATCTGAAGCACCCTCACTTCATGAAGGAGGAAAGGTTTATTTTATCTCAGAGCTCTAGAGGTTCATAGTTCCGCATCAGGTGCATCCCAGAGGTTCACTTCTGGTGGTGTTGTTCTTGCTGATGGAGAACTGAGGTTTCTCAGAGCATCACAGGACAGGAGACAGTGAGCATGTCTTTCTGCCTGTCTGTCTAATGCGTTCTCTCTGTCTTTCTCTCCTCAAAAAGCCATCGAAATTCAATCACCATGGTTCCTTCTTAATGATCCACTCCAATGTGAATACTTCACAACGGCCCCACCTCTAAATTCCACTGTTAGATTAAGTTTCTACCTGCTTAGTTCCTTGAACCTGAGACTTTGGGAGCTAAACTTCTTTCCACATGAGTTCTGGAGCCAAATCATTTTCACACCCTAAACACTCTGCAAGAATATTAAGTGGTGGGGCCTGCATTGAGGCATAGCAGATTAAGCCTCCACCTGCAATGCCAGCATCACATATGGGCAATAGTTTGAGACCCCTCTACTTCTGATCCAACTCTCTGCTGATGTGCAGGAGCAGAAGATGGCCCAACTGCTAGGGTCCCTGCTCACCCTTGAAAGAGCCAGAAGAAGCTGCTGGCTCCCAACATCAGCCTGGCCCAACCACGGCCATTGTGGCCATTTGGGGAGATACATTTGATACCTGGGTTTATGTACACATTTAATAATAGGATTATTCTGGCTCTTGTAGTCTGGGTTAAGCTGGAAATTTGTTCTATCCAAAAACAACTTAATTCTTGACATAGTTTGACTCATTCATTGTTATGCTACAGTATTCACTTTAGAGTATTTATAAATAAAGAAAAACCAGCCAAAGATTAAAAAGCTATCAAGTCGTCGAATAGAAGATATAGAATATCAACCTGAGGAGTGTGATGACTTAATGATGTCCAGTTAAGAATTACTCAGGGAGGCCAGCGCCATGGCTTGCTAGACTAATCTTCTGCCTGCAGTGCTGGCACACCAGGTTCTAGTCCCAGTTGCTCCTCTTCCAGTCCAACTCTCTGCTGTGGCCCAGGAAGGCAGTGGAAGATGGCCCAAGTGCTTGGGTCCTGCACCCGCAATGGGAGACCAGGAGGAAGCACCCAGCTTGTGGTTTCAGATTGGCGCAGCGTGCTGGCCGTAGTGGCCCTTTGGGGAGTGGACCAACAGAAGGATGACCTTTCTCTCTGTCTGTCTCTCTCTCTCTGTCTAACTCTGTCTGTCAACAACAACAACAAAAAATTACTTATACACTGAATCCTTTGTAACTTCATATTTTTTCTTAAATTTTTTTTACTATCTTGAATGTCACATTTACAGAATAAAAGACAGGGAGAAAGAAAGGGAGAGATCTTCCATTAGCTGGTTCACTCCTCAGGTGACTGCAATGGCCTGGGCTTGGTGAGTTCAAAGCCAGGAGCCAGGGACTTCATCCAAGTCTCCCACATGGGTGGCAGTGGCCCATACCTTTGGGCTGCCTTCCACTGCTTTCCCCAGACCATCAACAGGGAGCTGGATTGGAAGTGGAAAGACTGGAGTACAAATTGCTGACCATATGGTATGCTGGCATTGCAGGTGGCAGCTTATCCACCAGGCCACCACAATGTCATGTTTAAACAAGGAACAGAAAGAATCCTGGGTCGCATACTTTCCTGCTGGCAAAAAATGTGATATTCAAGCCAAGATCAATACTTGGTTTCTTAAAAATGTACCTTTGTGTTTTTCCCTTGAAACTGTTTCATAAATTAAATGTCATGCTAAAAGTTCTGGAATGATCAGGACTTAGGATTCATCATTACTTTGACAAATTGAGTCATTCCTTAGCATACTTTGGAACAAAAATAATTTTAGTTTTACAAGTTTAAGTAATTAGGTCAAATGTTTATTCATTTAGGGGTGTATTTTTATTGCCATATAGAAAAAACAAAGACGTTCACTTGTAAAACTAGGTACTTATACTAATTGTCAGTTGCTGTATAACAAACCATTAAAGTGTAGTAGCTTAACACTACACTTGTTTAATTTGCTCCAAAAACTTCAACTACCACAAGATTTGGGGGAAGACCTTTTCTTTGCTTTAGGCAGCATCAGTTGAGGAGCTCTTTCAGGATGGTTAGCTCAGATGGTTAGCAAATTGAATCTGGTTGTTGGCTGGAGCTCATTCAGGGCTGTGGGCCCAGTACCCATTTTCAGTCCACACATGCCTCTGATAGGCCTTTTGTGTTTCGCATAGCAAAAGAGTGGATTCCAAGAACAAATTTCCCAAGAGAATTATGTAGCACATTTTTATGAACATTTTTAAACGTCTGCCAGTTTCAGGGGAGAGAAACCTGGTGCAAGAAGCATTACAATCACATTGTAAGAACACACAGGGCAGAACATTTTGTCAAGGCAAACTTTGGAAACTAAGTCAGACCTAGTCCTTACTTCCGGTTTTCCTGTACTTTTCTGCATTGTTGTTTGCAGTCTATTCTGAATCACCAAGCAGGCAAACTGGGGTTAGTTTTTGAGTTCTGCATTCAAATTGCTGTGTTTCAGTCTGTCATTTTTTTATTTGTTTCTTATGTTCTTGCTAACATTCAGGATATTTTAATAAGTAAGAGCTTGCTGTTTAGAGTTAGAAAACCAACCATTTATGTCAGCTAAATAGGACATGTTGACTCTAATTACACACTTGCTGATCCTTTCTTGAACCGGTTCTTAAAATTTTGAAAAGTTTGACACCTGTTCACCTTCTGTGTTGATGTGAAATTTTCCAGCAGTTACTCACGTGATATTCTTGAGAAACCACTCTAAACCCTACTGTAACATAAACAGAATTTCTCAGCTCAGAATAGTTTTCAAAAATATATTCCAAAATAGTTTAACTCATGGACAAGCATATAATAAAATATAAACCTGATTTCTATCTGAATTTAAATAATCATCTGTTTAGATATAATCTTATAAATGTAGATAATAAATGCTTTTCTACTACGGTAAAATGCTTTCAGAAAAAACTTAGTATCTTGAATCATAGATAAACAGTAATTGGATTTCTAAATGAATCAGGTATTCGAGAGCACTACAGCGATTGGTAGCCCTGTAGTAATTATTTATTATTAGCTTAATTAATATCTCACGGGACCCCCATATATACCAATCTTTATGCTAATTGAGGAGTCTGAATAACTGAGAAAAAATCTTGATAGAATATATTTTTAGGTAAGTCCATTTTCACTTTCTGACTCTCTACAATTGTTAGACCAATAAAAGTTAAGTTTTCTAGTATTGTA